GAAAACTGGTCTTGCGTGAAAATTTCTATTTTTCTTTCTTTTAGATTCTGAGTGAAACGATGAATGTATTGATTTTACAATGATGTGTGTTTTTTTTTTTATTTTTTTATTTTATTTTTTATTTTTATATTTATTTTTTTTGTGTCTGTGTACACGATAAGTAGTCGAAATAATGCTTCGATTTTCGACTTCAGTATCTTGTTCGATTGGAAAGTGAATATCGTTGGTGCATTGGGGAGGTCAAAATTTAAATTTCCCAGTAGTTTTCAAGAGCGCCGGGAAAAACAAAAGAAAAATTAAGGAAAAACGGGAATTTTTACGCAAAATCGATTTTTCAGAAAATTGAATTTGGTTTTTGGTGTAACTTTAAAACAAATGACCGTAGGTACATGCAATTTTCACTGGTTGTTTATATTTGCATCTTCTATACACGATAACATTTTCAAAATATTTTGATTTATTTTGAACAGTTTAGGGACATTTTCATTTTTAGTTTTTTTTTAGTTTTTTTTCTAGAAATATCAATAAAATTTTATTTGTTGGTTGCGAAAGCTTGAAAATTTAATAGAAGGCTCCTAATATATTGTTTCAAGGGCAGATGAAAAATATTAAAAATCCTTAGTCACAATTTTTTTTTATAAGCATTTAAAGTTCAAAAATTGACAAAATATGGAAAAATCACGAAAATTAGCAAATTATTTTGAGTTAAGAATTCGTAAAAATTTTTCTTTTTAAATCTAAGATTTGAAAATCTAATACAAGATTACTCATAAGATTGTCTACCTTTATCAATAAAAAAATCTCTACCGGAAAGTCAAATTAAATTTTTATGAGCGTTTGAAATTCAAATTTTTACAACATTGGATATTCACTCGATTTCTCATGTGGCAATTTCCTTTTTTTGTTGTTATTCAAAAACGAATAACTATAGATACATGAAAATTTCACTGAATGTTTATATTAGCATTTCCTATACACCATAGAATTTTGAAAATATTTTGACTCTTTTTGAGCTGTTTATGGACATTTACAGCTTTCAATTTTTTTTAGTTTTTTTTTCTATAAATATCAATAAAGTTTTATCTGTTGGGCCAAAAAGTGTAAAAATTTAATACAAGGCTCCTGATATATTGTTACAATAACAGTTGAAAAATATTAAAAATACATAGGCACAATTTTTTTTTATAAGCATTTAAACATCGAATTTTGACAGAATTTTTCAAAATCTTGAAAATTATTAACCATCGTAATTAATAAATTCTAAAATGTTCAGTTTTTATAGCTAAGGATTGAAAATTTAAAACAAGATTCTACGTAAGTAGTTAATTCTCTTACAGTCTTACCGAAAAATCTAAAAAAATTTCAATGTAACTGTAAAAGGATTAAGTCTATGTACCACAAGACCAGCTACGTATAATTAATAGGTAAGAACTACAGTTTTTTTCTGACTAACCTAATTTCATCACCATCATAGAAGCACAAATTATCAATACAAAAACTTCTATGATAATCGAGTACCATGTTACTTTTTTTGCATAATGAAGTATCTGAAATAAATAATTTATAGGATATTACAACTGAAATGAATATTATTATTACTCTTATTATTAGGTAGGTTTTTAATTTTATTTTTTTTAAACACTATTAGAATATTTCCTACCCTTGGGGCAGGGATAGGAAATAGTCATGAAATGGGCTGGGATTTCCACACTCTCCATGCAACTGCTGTGTTTTTTCCTATAACATAATTTAATATTATTAATATTATAGTTATATTAAATAATAAATATATTCATATTTAGTAGTTTTGTATGTTTAGGTAGATTATTTATGATAGAGGCCTATTTAATTAGTTAATATGATGATGATAGAATTCTAGTGTTAACACACATCAAACAAATAATTATATTAATAATCATGGATTTTTTTCCCAATAAAAATTGTTTATTAAAATTGATTACGAGTGTCAACATTAACTTGGTTCTACTTTCACCTGTTAAAATTAAAAATATTATTAATACCATGTTTACTTTATTTGTGATAAATACTACTTTTTGTACCTATGTATAATTGTTATACCTTTTCTGTTTGACGTGTGTCTAAATCTTAGATATAGACTTGATTGATACCTTTTTTGTACTTTTGAAATTGCAATCGTTGGTATCTCGAGTAATTGCCGACACTCGCGACGAAATAATATAAAATATCAAAATACTGGTTTTTTTGTATACCTGCTTATCTATAAGTTAGTTATCTACACTAACTCGTCGAGTACATATTTTTTTTAGATTCTGAGTGAAACGATGAATGTATTGATTTTACAATGATGTGTGTTTTTTTTTTATTTTTTTATTTTATTTTTTATTTTTATATTTATTTTTTTGTGTCTGTGTACACGATAAGTAGTCGAAATAATGCTTCGATTTTCGACTTCAGTATCTTGTTCGATTGGAAAGTGAATATCGTTGGTGCATTGGGGAGGTCAAAATTTAAATTTCCCAGTAGTTTTCAAGAGCGCCGGGAAAAACAAAAGAAAAATTAAGGAAAAACGGGAATTTTTACGCAAAATCGATTTTTCAGAAAATTGAATTTGGTTTTTGGTGTAACTTTAAAACAAATGACCGTAGGTACATGCAATTTTCACTGGTTGTTTATATTTGCATCTTCTATACACGATAACATTTTCAAAATATTTTGATTTATTTTGAACAGTTTAGGGACATTTTCATTTTTAGTTTTTTTTTAGTTTTTTTTCTAGAAATATCAATAAAATTTTATTTGTTGGTTGCGAAAGCTTGAAAATTTAATAGAAGGCTCCTAATATATTGTTTCAAGGGCAGATGAAAAATATTAAAAATCCTTAGTCACAATTTTTTTTTATAAGCATTTAAAGTTCAAAAATTGACAAAATATGGAAAAATCACGAAAATTAGCAAATTATTTTGAGTTAAGAATTCGTAAAAATTTTTCTTTTTAAATCTAAGATTTGAAAATCTAATACAAGATTACTCATAAGATTGTCTACCTTTATCAATAAAAAAATCTCTACCGGAAAGTCAAATTAAATTTTTATGAGCGTTTGAAATTCAAATTTTTACAACATTGGATATTCACTCGATTTCTCATGTGGCAATTTCCTTTTTTTGTTGTAATTAAAAAATGAATTACTGTAGATACATGAAAATTTCACTGAATGTTTATATTAGCATTTCCTATACACCATACAATTTTGAAAATATTTTGACTCTTTTTGAGCCGTTTACGGACATTTTCAGTTTTCAATTTTTTTAGTTTTTTTTTCTATAAATATTAATTAAGTTTTATCTGTTGGGCCAAAAAGTGTAAAAATTTAATACAAGGCTCCTGATATATTGTTACAATATCAGTTGAAAAATATTAAAAATACATAGGCACAATTTTTTTTTATAAGCATTTTAACATCGAATTTTGACAGAATTTTTCAAAATCTCGAAAATTATTAATCATCGTAATTAATAAATTATAAAATGTTCAGTTTTTATAGCTAAGGATTGAAAATTTAAAACAAGATTCCACGTAAGTAGTTAATTCTCTTACCGAAAAATCTAAAAAATATACAATCACAGTTTATTTTTATAGTCATTTTATGTTCAAATTTTGACGAAATTACATATTAAAAAACCTAGTTATTTTGTTGTGATTATATAATATTATTCGTTGGTACCTACTTGAAACTTCTAAAGTGTACTATTATATATATATGATAGTATCAGGGTTTGTTGTTGGTGTATAACGTGTTATTAGTACCTAATGGATATTGTGATAATGTGATATGATTAATTTGGAATTTATTATAGGTCAATTTTTTTTTAATACCATAGATATGTATATAATTTGTCTTAACCTAGACTGACATACCGTCTTCGCTCAGAATCGTTTTTCTTATACAATGATATTGTATCATTGAATTCAAATTTAATAGCATCAATTATACAGTGACCCACTTGTAACCTACTGTACAGCAGAGCGACATCCACTTACCCACCTTTTTTTTTGTTGTTTTTTTCAATTATTTTGAGAAATACTGGGAATTTTAAATGTAGACACTGAAGAGTATCAACTAGATTAAATAGTTGAAGATTGAAGCATTTTCATTAATAAGTAACTATGACAACAAAAACCTAAGCAAAAATCGGTCACATACAAAAAATCTTGTATCCAGCATTCCAGCCCTTAGATCATTTACTATGGATGGAGCCACAGCGTAATCAATACAAAAAAAACGTCGCAGAATTAGGTGCTGGATATCCTCATACGTAACGAGACTTCTCGCATATTTATCCTTAGATACCCATTGTACCTATGGATAATTATGCGAGGAGTTGCATCGCGCTTGCGCACATCGATCACCTAATTCAGCGACTTGTCGCTAACTCGGCAACAAAACCATAGGCTGTAGCTACAATGTAGCTGCTACATCCATAGTATATGATCTAAGATCCAGTCCAACTATATTTATGTTAAAAAAGACATATTGCAAAATCAATACATCATATTATCATTAAATACAATGTGTACATTTCACAGCTGATGTATAAAAACATATTTTTAACGTATTTTTAATTTTTATATATCTGTGGTAAATTTACTTTTAAGTCAATATAATTAATTGTAGAAAAAAAATTCAGAGTTAATATTATCTATATGGTCTATTCTTCTATTATCTATGGGTCTATTATTGTTTTATTATCATTATACATTTTATTTTTGTACAACCTCTTTGCGTCTTAGAAACATCAAACAGCTGATGAGTGATGCTATAATTTTGTTATCACTTATCAGCAGGGACTACATTTTGTCGGTGAAATATGGGCAATGATTGGGGCATATATACGCATTGCACTATCCAACTATCGGTGTATTGCTTAATCCTTGGTTAGTTAAAAAAAAACGTGCTCTTTTTAGTAAAAATAATATTTACAAAGTTCGTTCAACATTCTCATTAAATTTTTTAACATAAAATGTCAAAATTGACGAAATTTTTCGTTGGGAATCTGCCGTGGACAGTTAGCAGCCGAGAACTCCGTAAATACTTCGCATCATTCGGCCACGTTGCTACAGCAGACGTATTGTTCGACCACTCTACTGGTTTGTCAAAGGGCTACGGATTCGTTCAGTTTTCTACAACAGGTGGATACGAAAGTGTTTTAAACAATGACAAACATGAATTAGACGGGCAAACATTGATTCTTAAAACAGCTGATTTTCAATAATTGTCTTCTTACATGCAAAATTCCTGTTTTTTTTATAATAGACCTATTAGTATTTAATATAGTTGTATAAGTAATGGATTCTAAAAAATTATCTGATCAGTTTGACAAAGCCGTCTCTTTTATTTCTGGGTCTAATTTATCTGATGTTGACACACAGCTTAAATTGTATGGGTTTTATAAGCAAGCAATAGAAGGTATATGTACTCAACCAAAACCTCCAATATATGATCTAAAAGGTCGTAAAAAATGGTATGCCTGGTCTGAAATGGGTTCAATGTCTAAAGAAGAAGCTATGACCTCATACATAAATTTAGTAACCACAATAAATCCAAACATAGAAGCAGAAAAAACTGGATGGGTGACAGTAAGTACATTTGCCAATGACGAACTACCACTGTCAGAAAATGAAAAAACCATTAGTGATTGGGTTAAAGAAGGAGACTTAAACAAAATAAAGACTTTTATTGGCAACATAAATGTTCGTGATTGTATGGGAATGGCACCAATCCACTGGGCTTCAGATCGTGGAGATTTGGAAATTTTGAAATTTTTAGTGGAAAATCATTCAGCTGATGTCGATTTACAAGATTACACGGGCCAAACAGCTTTACATTACGCTGTATCTTGTAGTCATGAAGAGATATGTAAATATTTGGTTAGCATGGGTGCAACCATAGATATTCAAGATGAGGATGGATTTACTCCACTATTAATGTGTTCGGATGAAAATATAAAAACACTATTGTCAACAAATTAAATGTTTATACACAACTCTATATTTCTTTGTATATAATTATAATTACTATATTATGTTAAAACCAAATTAAAAATGATTGTATGTAAGAATAAAATTTAGTGAGTATTATGTAATATTTTTAAAATAAACAAATAAAAATCATTTTATTCATATTTTGAATGTTTTTTTTTTTTATTTTCATTAAATAAATAACAATACATAATAAATAATTTCAAAAAGTATGACCTCGATATGAGAAATTGTAAAAAGGTCAATAAAGTTACAAAGTTCAAGTTATAAAGTTTACATGATATCATTTAAAAAAAAAAACACAATGTTGGTACACGCCACACCATTTTCCATTTTGTATTTATCTTAACTATACTTAAGATGATTATAATATTAGGTGTCAATGTTAGTTATATATTTAACAATAATACCCTGAAAGTGAAAAATGCTAAATATAATATTATGAATAACACTTATAAAAATTCACAATCTAGGTTTACAATAGTCAATACAACTTAAATAGTTAAATGTTACAATTCAAATCAGAATTTAATTTGAATCGGTAGATAATATGGGTGTAAATGTATTCGCTTACAAATTGAACTTATAAATAAATTTTACATTTAAAAAAATTGGTTTTTTTATAAAATAGGTGGTAAAAAGTTATGCAAATAGTAGGTATATAATTTAAATAAATATCAACCATTGAGTAATACTAGGTATGTTTTGTTAGTAAACTTAACAATGTAGTCAATCTTGAAAAATAGTAAAACTTTCAAAAATTAAATTTTTGTTGTAACTTTAAGAATTGGTCTGGGGAGTTTGTCAAAAAAATTCATTGTTTAATATTAATAGCCAGCACTTTAATTCGTATTTGTAAAATATAGGTAGGTTGTTGTGGGAAACGTCATAATGATAGTATTAAATTATGCAGTAAAAAATTTAAAATGTTTATAAGTAAGTTAAGTTAAATCAGTTGGTCTGTTTGTAATTGTATGTAGGTCATTATCGAGTAGGTATTGTTTGTTTACAGAATACATTTTATTGTTTTTGTTGTTACAATTATGTGAGTGTATTATCTATTCAGTATATTTACAAAATTAAGTACCTACCTTTGAGTTAGGTTTCTAGATTAGTTATTGTTCAATTAAATATGTTGTATGTTTCAGTAAAATAACCAATGTCCAATGGTAACTAAGTGTAATTTGTCATACCAACAAGGCACAAATATTTATTTAAGCATCACACATCTATAATAAACCATAATAATATTTTATTATTGAAAAAATAAACAAAATATGTACCCCTAAATTATTGGGTACCTACAGCATTGGAATTGTTTCATAAAACAATATGAATTACATTGTACATAAATATAGTTGTGTTAAGTAGGTACGTAACTGTAAAAATGTCTAATAAACAAACTAAAATTAAAATGATGTGTTGTGATAGGTACTTAATTAATACTGAAGTGTGAAGTGTTAACTGTGAGGTAATATTGTTAATCTTTATTATGTAGGCAACTTGTGTCTAAAAGGCAGTTTTTGTTATGAGTTACAGTGGTTACATGAATTTTGAAAATCATAATAGTAAGTACGTTTTAATATTTTGTTTTTCATAATTTAAATTATATTATTATTTGTGATGCATAGTTTATTTTTATTTAATGTTATAATTAAATAACAAAAGTACAAATTATGATTGATATTATAATATGTTATATTCACAGCAATTTTTTCAGTGAACGTTTGTTTATAGTAGGTAAGTAGGTACCTATAACTTGATGTATTGGTGCATTGTATTTGTATTGTTGTACACATGTATAATGTATATAGTAAAAGTTAAAGTATTGGTATCAATGTTTGTATCAGATGTACATTGTTTAAGTATAAAATATAAGTAATAATGCATTGTTAGTTGTTTTGTGAAGTTAGGTTGTTGTTGTCAAGATGGTAGGATAATAGCAACTAACCAGTAGGGCTTAAAGTGCTTAAACTTAGTTTAGTTTAGTAACTTAGTTAGTTTTCGTCGTTTAGTTAGTTTAGTTTAGTAACTTAGTTAGTTTTTGTCAGTTCAAAAAAAAAGAAAAAAAATTGTTCATGTTTCAAAAAGTATTGTCGATGGTACTATGTAGTACCTATGTTCAAAACCTTTAACAGATTATTATGATTTAGTGATATCATAAAGGTAGGTATATATAGTCAATAAGTTGTCGTTGTTAGAGAGTATTAATAATTGCAGTAGGTCCCAAGTTTTTTTGTTTTATCCAAAAAATGTGTACACATAAATGGTTTTTATTATCCTCAAAGTTTGTCAAAGTATTAAAATTAAAATGTCTATGGTCAATGTATCATTTTCATTGGTATTTTCCCCAAAGTAATACTATACTAGCCGAGATTTATAGAGCAAATATCATTTTAATCAGTATTCAGTAGACATATTAGTTGTATAATACTAATATACTATACTATGTAGATATATTGTATAAAGTAAACAATTTTGTGTTTTCATTGGTAGTAAGTAGTAATCTAGCAAGTAGTCAAGTTAAGAGTACCTATTTCCTCCAAATTCATTCCAACAGGAAGTCCGAAGAAGAGTTGGTGAGCATTGCCGATTAGCATATGAAAAAAAAAAAGAAAGAAAAAGTTAAAATTATAAGTATATTAGTATAATATGTATGTATGTATAAAGTATATATGAATATATATTTGTATGTAAGTATGTTTGAATGTATGTTTATAATATAATATGCATCAATACATGTACTTTTGTATTTATGTTAGTATACCTGTATTTAGCCGCAGCTCGCAGTCCCGTTCAGAGAGATTTTGGGGCCTGGGGCAGAATCATGTAAGGGGCCCCTTTTTAATTTAAATTTTATTACAGGATCTTAAATCTAGGTACATATCACAAACAACAATATAAATAATATAATCTTTGTAGTTCATATGATAATGGTCCGTTCATTAATATTATTACAGTTTGTTATTATTTTTATTTATCATTTATATAGCCATAAAGTAGTTGTTAAAACTTAAATTTGAATCAGGTCGGGGATTTTCGATTAAATTAATTTTTTTTTTTGCAAGGGCTCATGGGGTCTCCATGATTATTTGGTCTTTGACCCAGAGACCCCACTTCTAGACAGGCCTGTATGTAGGTACCTATATATATATATTACAATAATGCATGTACTTATTTGTTTGTTGGCATGTATGTAATATGTATGTATGTATGCATAATTGTAAGTAGGTACCTATGTATATATTATATGTTATAGTATGTAATAGGCTTCAATTTATGCACAGATATGTATAGGTATCATGTGTGTAAGTAATATGTATGTTTGTTTGTACGTATGTGTATATACATCAAAATATATCAATATATGTAATACTAGGTATTTATTTTTTTTAAGTTTTTATTTAAAAAGCAATACTATAAATAATATTAATTTTGTATGGTATGCTTGTTAACTGTTAAGTATGTATTGGTTATTTGTGATTTGTATTATTTAGTTGTATAAAAAATCAATAGTTAATAATCAAACCTAATTTATATTGTTTATTATAATTTATAGTCATTGTTAAATGTTAAGTTGGATTTGTAATAAATAAAGAAACAAGTTTTTGATTTGTAGAAAAATATAATTTGTTAGTTATTCAGACTCAAGTTCAGTTGTACCTATCTGTTAATTATGAATGCAGTAGTTAAGTTGGTTGTTAAAAACTCTTTAGGAGTGGGATTGTGGAAATGTAAAGACCTAAAAATACCAAAAAAATGCTTTTATTCATAAAAAATTCAAAATAATGCACTGAAGTTTTTAAATTTAAGTACCTAATACCTATATACCTTATAGGTATTAATGTACTATGCACAGATGTATATTATAAATGTAGTAGGTTTCAACTTTCAGGTATAGTAACATTAATTATTTGGTACCTACCTACCTAAGTCTATTATGTCTGTAGTCAATGTTTATATATAGAATGTAACATATTTTCTAGTACAAAATAAAATATCAGTTGTGTTGATATTTGTGTGTATTAAGTTGTCATAGAATAACTTTATTCTATATAAATCCGTTACAATTTATAGCTTATATTTTATAACATAATAGGTACCTACCTACCTTATAATGTTATTAAAATAAGCTACCTTCTTTTTCAAATGTTATGTTTCTAAGTTGTAAGCTGTAAGTTGAGTTGTTTAGTATACTTTATGTTTTACTTTGTATTAATCTTATTATTCAGAATTACAATCTGAGTTGCCATTTCAAAGCCCTTTAATCCGGCTCTGAAGTCTGAATACCTTCATGCCAATACAAGTATAACTGTAATAGACGAGATTTCTGTAATATATTATTATTGATCTAAAACATATTATAACTTGTAATGCTTGTATTTGTTTTTGATATTAAAGCACGTCTTGATAATTCGACACTGCCCATTTGTATAACTGTATAAGTCAATATGTGTATAATATAGAATGCAGGTACTTGCTGCGTGGGCTGGTTAGTAAATAGTATAGGTAATATCATATTATATTATTATGTTGGTTGTTGGGTAGGTCGTAGGTAGGTAGTAATCAGTTAGTAGGTAGGTACCTACTTAACAATTTATAATTTATTGTATGGTATGATATTAAGAATAATCGTGATGTTGTTTGTTGCTACTTGTTGTAAGTAGGTGGTACTTACCCTAGGTGGTAGATACTTGTCTACTTGTAACAGGCTGGTTCAATGGTCTAGTACTCTAGTGTAGTAAAGTACGAGTGTATAGTTCAAATAGTTCAGTAGTTGTAAATGTAATTGTTAGGTACTTAATCAATCATACATTTTCGGAGATGTTGAACACATTAAAAATACTTTATAGATTTGTTATACTTGTAAATAGGTTAACTTTTAGAAAAGCACTTTTTTCCTGTTTCTACATAGCCACATAGGTATTTATTAATTTTATAATGTAGAGTATTGGGTAAATGTGTTGACCGTTTTCCGTCGGTTAGCCGTTAGGTTAGTCCTAAGTTACGTTTTATTTTGTTTATTTGATCGGGTTGTTAATTTGCAGAATTCTTAGCATTTTGAAAGTAATAAATAATAATAAATTGTTATATTTAGATATTTCTGTTAAGTATAAAATATTTAAATAAATTTGAGTGTCGTATGTTTCTTTTATTTGTATGTCAAATTATTGTCAACTGTCAAGTTAGATAATAGTAATAAGTTATTACTATTATCTAGTTATTACTAATAACCAATATAAATATAATTCAAATTGCTTATAGAAAACTTAAAAATGTAGTATCATTATATCTGTGTACTGGTACCTACCAATAATAATAATAACTGAAAAATGAATCGATATATTCTCTTCAATATTAAACACAATATTATGTAAATTATTGTTAATTTAATTAAAAAGTGAATAAACAGCTGCTGTTTAATTATATTTAATATAATTACGATCTCACTGTCAGACAGTATATATAGATATCCAGAATCCAGATCCATGAATATAATTTAAAACTGTAGTATGTATTTTATATTTAATACCTATGCACTATACTTATTAAGCTATTTGGATTATATCAATATTGAATATAATATCATTGTCATTATTTATTAGTCAACACTCAACAGTAATGTTACTGTTTTTGTTTATGTTGTAAAATGTAGGACGTAGGTTATATTTATAGCCATGTGCCCATGTCCACGTGTACTATTTATACATAGGTAAATAATAATTTACAGAGTGATTCTTAAATTCTTTCATCGGTAAACATTCATCAACTCGAATAATATCAACTGTTTAGAAATAAAATTCGTTTAATGACTTGAGATGCGATAACTTTATATTTCCAAAAACGTTAATATTTTTCGACATAATAATAGTTTATAGTGTTTAAAGAATCAAAAAGTTCTTCCTGCAATATATTATAATTGTATTAAATAATAATATTATTAGTCGTTAAAAAAGTTGTTCAAATGTAGATGTAAATGTTAAAATGTATAAAAGTATAAAAATTGGATACAAAATGTCGTTTTAGTTTTGTTTATGTCGATGGGCATTAGTTATATAATTTTTGTAGTTTGGTCGTGTAGATTAAGGCATAATATTATACCTATACGTTTGTAATTTTCCGTTCGGCGGCTGCTCGGTGAACGGAAAAAACAGGCTAGCATAGTGATATCATATTAAATTGTTAAATAATATTATGTAGTTAATGTAAATAATTAATGTGCATATTAGAGTGGTTTTCTTTTGAGCGAAATTGCTAAAATCACAAATCGTTTGTGTGAGATTCAGATGGACACCCTCGTTTGGGTGAGTTTATGTATATCGCCCGCCTTCATAATATCATACATAAACGTCTCTATGATAGAAAAGTCCAAGCAGGAAATATATGACAATGTGTAAAAAAAATGGAGCCATTGTAATATTATAATAGGTTAGACACGCGAAATGCATTATTTGTATATTATGTACCTACTAAGTATGTATGAATGTATATGATACCATATAGGTACGCTTTAAATTGATAAAAATGGCTCAAGTGGAAATCTACTTGCACATGTTAATGACCTTGCGACCCACTTTCTATCTAAGTTTTCATTTTTGCGTTCTATACACGGTCGGAAGGGGGAACTGGGATCAAAGTGAAAGCCCAAAGTGAAATTACAAAGTCAGTAAATTAACATTGACATGCGTGTGTAGATGAACTACCGAATTCTATATTACTATATTATGTATGTATAACGACATAACGTTATAACTACATATTATATTATATTGTTATTACTCTGTATAAAATTATAATACATTCATAAGGTAGCGAATAATGTCAAGGGTGATTCACCAAGCATGCTCAGTTTACTTTTAACCTTTAATAATAGACATTTTTGATCTTTTTAATTTTTAAGTATAATTATTTTCAAATTAAAATCTCCCTTTTTTCACGAAGATATCTAGGGACTTAGGGTGATAGCCGATAGGTAATTTTGTGACTTTTGAGACATATCTACTGTACATTAAACACTTTAAAAGTGTGGTGTGCAATACCTATTGAAATTATAATTAATTGTGGACTGTGGTCGTTTTAAATTAATTATAATGTAATATATAAAAATATGTAAAATGTAAAATGATGAGGTGCAGCCGTGCAGATCATCCATGTTGCTATAGGGAATAGGTATAAGACATATGTACATATGTCATATAATAAGTCCATGTAAAAATATGTAAATTGTAATTAGGAGTGAAAATGTCCGTTATTTCAAAATATATCTGGTTGTAGTCGTTGTAGGTATAAGGTTGTAGTATTATAGGTATAAAATTAAGCATAACATATAAAATATACCCATAACATAATTTGTTTGACTAATTATTACAGTTATTAGTTTATTACATATAATATTATATATTATGCAGTAATGTGAAGTCATATATTTCAAAATAATTTGTGTGTAGGCAAGTATGTCAAGTACTCAAGTAGGTATATAGTGAATAGTCATATAGTACCTATATACTCACATAGATTGTTATTCCATATTATATGTTTAGACTGAGACTTAGGTACATTAATTGTTGTGTTGTATTTGTTTGAGTTAAATTGGTAGGTACAATAGGATCTTAGACATCGATTGTGTAAAACTATTTACGTCATATAGTATGTATAGGAGTAAAATATAATAATGGTAGGTATATATAGTGGTAGTACAATAGTATATAATATAATAGTCATAAAGTCACGTATAACCGTATAGGTATAAATATATTGAGTTTATTTGTGTAAATATTATACCTATAGACAAATTTCATTAGGTATTAAGTCTTCAACACAATAAGTTTAAAAAAATATACATTTGTTTATACAGCAAGTACGAGTAAAGTAGAGTTAATATGTATATCTGCTATGTGTTTATGTACAATGTACAGTTACGTTAGTAAATAGTAAATACCGTTTTTGTATAAAATAAAAATCTACATGATTCGTAATGTATTGATTAGTATTGTTGATGTACACAAGTATATTAAGCACACGTTAAAGTTACATAATATTATGTTTATATTCATAATACACGATATTATAGTTATATAAAGTTCAAAGAAAAATAGCTGTTGTTAGTATAATATGGTGAAGTAATAAGTTGTATACTTGTTTGTTTGCAAATGTCGTAGTAGTAAAGGTATACATGAAATAAGTACAGTATACTGGCTATTATACAGTGTAGTATGTATCATGTTTATGTATAGTGCATTGAAAAACAGTTAAAATTTCAACTATGTATTTTTTGTTCAACAAAAAGTTAATTTGCCGGCCCTGCAGTTTTAAAAGTCCCACGGCGATATTTTTGTCAAACAATATTTTAGATGAAAACCGGTGGGGAAAAAGTATAGGGATTGCAAAAAATTATTTTATCACAGCCATGTTTAAAAAAAAAAAAAAAACAATAATTTATCTACAAAATAATGCACTTTAGCAAGTAACCTATAAGATACACTATAGCTTACACGCGTTTTTGATATAAATTATATATGTTTAAATATAGTAAAATATCGTTACAATATATTTATTTAAAATAATTTAGTTTTTAAATTGTAGTAATTAATTGATTAACTTAAAATATTGATTGAATAAATAAGTTATGTACAATGTAGTGGAATTATCTATCAAAAAGATCGTGGTTGTTGACTAATTTTTTTTGCACGAAATAATATAGAACTGCTACTGCAGTACCTACCTCGTCATATATAAATCGATGATAATCGATATAAGAGCGAAATGTTACATACCTTCATATGATGTCCGTATTATATACATCATATATATTTGTATTATACGAACAATTATTTATTAAGAAATAAAATGAGATTTGTTTGTTTTTGAAAATAAATGAAAATCCCATTTGGTCCACAATAAGGTAGTGTACAGCGAAAGCGAGACTGTTGCGATTTCCAAGGCGTTTCAAAACTGTAAAACAAAATCAACTTTAATCAACAATTAAAAAATTCATAACACATTAATTGTTATAATAACTAATATAAAAAGCGCACACCGCGAGTCCGTGACCAGTATCAGCTGCAGTCATCAATATATTTATTATACTTTAGTTTAATTAGTATTTTCGACCAATAACTGGTAATTATTGTTATTATTATAAATTATGATTAGCACAATAAACTAATCTTGACTGAGCAGCTGCCGTCGCCGCCGCAGCGTCGATGAATGGTGACGACTGAATGCCACGGCAAACCCACCCGCTGGTGTTTTATATACATGCTAATTTCGTATACGCATTTTTTTACTCATTATTTTCTTATTTGTCGTCTTTCGTTTTAACGAGCGATGACGGAAGAAAGCAGAGAAATCGTGAAACGTCAAATTTCACACCCGTCAAGACTCGAAAAGAAGAGAGGAGTGTGAGAGGGAGAGAGCAGAAAGAAAATGAATAGATATATTATACTATTATTTGTATTATTATATCACACAGTGCACACCAATGCGTAAACATTAAAAAAGCGCGCGCTTCTGATTTCACTATGATAGTATGATGCATAGTGCGTGTGAACCCAAAGGACCTTAAACAAACACTATACACACACACGCGCTGCAGCATACCCACTGCACAGATCACGCAAAATAAGTATAGTATATGTTGGCTTAGTGCCTCAAACATAATATTGTAGGTAGATATTGTTGATAGAGAAAGTCAATTGAACGCGGCAGAGATGAGAATCAAATACCTTTTATACATTTTCTTAGAGCTATGGTTTTTTATAGAGTTTAATTTATATAGGTACTGCAGCACTATGCCACTATACAATGACAAGATTATGTACCTATGTAAATATAGTGACATATAATTCTATAGAAACTACAAATTTTGACTGTTTGAAACGGTTTTGAGTGTACTAAAATACACACTTGTACATAGTAATAGTGTTATACATGTTAACTGCAGTTGCAATAAAGTTGCATACAAAATTGGTCAACTTAAAATGGTTTACAAAAACTTGATGCACCAATCATCGGTTACTACAACATGTTTAAGGTACCTAATGGCTAATGGACTATATTAGATTCACTATTCATTCGTTAGTAAATGTTAATGTTTAATAATTGTTTATGCCACCCAGCATTAATGTGGCATTAGTGCATTACCAAAAACACCTCACTGCGAGTATTTTAAAAGTTCTAACTACTCTACCGACTACCATCAACGACTGAACGTCGACTATTGGAACATAATTATTAATGTAATTTGGTCCCAGTCCTCAGAAGTCCATATAATAATTATTCACATATTAAACGTGGGTTGATATTAATGACAATTAGTAAATGTATACATAATACGTTATACGTATTAACTCATAATTATATTGTTCAGAGTCTACGAATAATAATATTAATGAGGGAGTGTTTGTCCTATTTCTATACGATTTACGTGCGTATACGTTTCGCATCTAATTATAATTAGGTAAACTCCTTATAGTTTATACGTACGAAAGACCGACACATAGGCAGAGACGGTGATGGATAATAAAAGTTTAACCCTTTAAAATAATCCCTTACTCCTCCTCCTCAAGTAATTTCTCGATGACTCGATTGATGAGGCAAAATTATTATTGTATAACTGTTCCTTCGTAACAGTTATTGAAACGATTTGTTATTATTTTAAACTTGGATTACATTTTAGTCTATTTTTGGGTTCAACATATGGTTTTTTTATAATTGATCCACCCGTCGTATCCGGAAATTAATCAATTCTAGGTATCCAAATAACAATGAAAAAGTTAAGTTAAACATAATTGTTATGTTTTTATATTATTGAAATATTGATAAAAATTATTTTAAATGATCAATAACACTGTAATGTATATTATACAGGTATAATTGCACAATAGGTACTATAATATCATACTAGAAATATTGAAAGGGGCCTATTTGAATATAAGTATGTACCTATATAATCTTTATTTAAAAATAATAAGCTCTCCATAAAATTGTAATAGGTAAGTCTATAATCTATAAACATCTAGCCCTATGGCCTGTGGACCGACGATACACGCGGGCACTACAACCATATAGACTACGTATAATACGTGATCATTACAAAGACCATTCTCCCATATGAATAATATTCAGATTTATGATAAATATGTTATATACAATAACTGCAGTTATATTATTATCGAGAGTCAAGACACGTTTTTTTAACGTGAGTATTAATTTCTTATCACGCATATGGTCTGTATAGGTATAGTCTGCACATGTGCTTATATAGAGAGTATTGGGATTAAGGTGACTGTGTGAGCCTTGGGGGTGAGCTTAACATTTCTAAAAAATAGTGTATAATTTAATATATATATATAGGTATACCTGCCTAACATGTATGATATACATCCATATTCTATTCTCTTCTCGCAGGAGGCGAAAGAGAAACGATTTAAAAAAAAAGAAAAACGGTCAAGCAGCATTGCATCCCCGGCTTATATAGAGAGTATTGGGATTAAGGTGACTGTGTGAGCCTTGGGGGTGAGCTTAACATTTCTAAAAAATAGTGTATAATTTAATATATATATATAGGTATACCTGCCTAACATGTATGATATACATCCATATTCTATTCTCTTCTCGCAGGAGGCGAAAGAGAAACGATTTAAAAAAAAAGAAAAACGGTCAAGCAGCATTGCATCCCCGGCGGATTATGTCATATTAAAGGAGATACGCGTATGTTTACTGTGGGAATTTTATTTATTTTTTTAACTCGGCGGACTTTCTCTCACCGCAACCGTGTTTACGTACAGGTAGATAAGTTGGTGGGTACGCGACATGCGTGTGTCTATATAGTATATACGCTCCAGCTGACGAATAAATAATAACCGTATGTATACATTTTATATACCGCAGCGCATTATCATAATATTCCCAGATACAGCAGCAGCCGCAAGCGGCAAACGGACCGGCGCCGCGCGCGATATGCGATCTCGCGAGGCGTGACATTCGCGAGATTTTTTTTTTTTAATTGATATTCAAATGGGCCGTGAAAGTTGAAATCGTTAACCTGCGCGCGCGTTCAAATCGTTTTAACGGCGGCGGCGACGGCGATGATGACGACTACGGGTGGCGGACGTACGCACGAAATATAAATGATCTAAAAATCATTTAACTGTGACATTATTATATCGTAACTTTCTATTATGCGCATGTACGCCTGTTATTTATACAGACGACCCACCATCATCCGGTTGTTCGGGATAACATTACATCGTAAACGCGACTGCAGCAGACGACGACGACGAGTTTTCCGTCAGTTTCCCGTGTTGGATTTTCACGTCGACATAGAAGAAAGGTGGCCGTAATTGCCTTTCACTCGTAATATCGAAGATTTTTTATTTTTCTCTTAACGACCGTCATCGTTATTCAATATAATATATCGATAAAAGCGTATAGGTATTAAGTATTTTGTGTACGCGTGTGTGTGTGTGTGTGGCGTGTACCTATTTAGATAGCATTGGGTTTAGAGGTCTGAGGTACTCGTCGTTGAGTTTTGGCAATTAACAATTATATATTTTCGATATTAATTTAATGCGGAAATTGAATAGAATATAGTATTCCTATATACTTTGAACACTCAAAATAATTACAGTAATTATTGTGTTATAACAATTTTGTTGTGAACTAACCCGAAAAGAAATATATATATTTTAATTGGTTTGAAAAAGAAAACTATATTAAATATTTTGATAATTTAATCGGTCTGAAACCAATATTTTTTCACCATTGTATTCTTTGTTGTTGTAGATTTAATTTTGCGTGGGTTTTTTTCAGTTTCAGTGAATTTTTGACAATGAAAATGTCTATATTATTTATAGAACGAATACTCAACCGAGTGCGCACTGATAAAACTGTCGGTTTATTTTCTAATAATATACACATGAATTATGAAAAAATTAATTCTCAATATTAATAAATCCCTCGACTGACATCGGCAAACATTAAAAAAATGAATGGAATAAATGTAATTAGGAATAAACTCGCTTTCTCGGAGCACCAAATTTATTATGGTACACGTCGTCATCGCTGTACTACGTCATTGGAACTCACGGATGTACATAAAATGCCTATACAAAACGCCGTCTTAATAAGTTTTGGTAGACGAAAACCACGTAAGTTTACGAGCAAGTATACCACAACAGGGACGGGTCGGAACCAAAAAATAATAATAAGATACCAATAATATTGATCAGAGATTTTCCGTATAAATACCATATTTTAATAATATTCTGACAGCATTTCGGTGCGACGCGCGTACCATCTAAACATGACATAAACGAGTTTCCCATTATACATTTCGAAAGTGTGCAAACGACATGCTTATGAAAAATGTATAAAATATATTTACACGCGCAAACAAATTATACTTGGGAAATGGTACTATTTTGTTTTATAGACAAATGAAAAATAACAAACCTCGTGCTCGCCCCGCCGCCGGTAACCGCGTCGCGGGCCGCTGTGATGCTGCCTCCGCTGTTGGGCCCATTGCGGCGGCTGTGGCGGCGGACGATGCTGTAGAGGCGCGCACGACGGTCATTGCGATTTTTTCCTGTGCAGCTTGTCGTTCTGCTTCATCGTCGATATGGCGTTCACCGAGCCGAACAGTATTTTGGCGGTGACCTGGACGCGTCGCGGTTGGGCGGCCGGACTGTCGCCGGCACCTCCACCACCGCCGGCCGACGACGGACCGTAACCGCCGCACGCACCGTTCATACACTTGGTGGGACCGTTGTTGTTCACGTCACCACCCGTCGACCGGGTCGGGGAACCGTCCGGCACCCTGGTCTTGGACGAACCTTTGGATATCTGTTCATAGACAAAACAAACGAAAACAAAAAGAATCAGTAAATTGGCTTCTGATCGAATATATATGTGTAGACTAGCGTTAGCACGATTCAAAAAAATCTGAATGTCACAAAGGGGTATACAGAGCGGGGGAGCTAGGGCGTGGTGTTTGGTCTCAACAGTTGAGTCAACACGGTGTTGACCATTATTTCCGTTCACGATAAGCAATTTCATATTATATTAGGTATATCATTTTTGTGTCCGATAATAAACATGTGAAATAATAATAATCGTAGCCCCCCTACATGCGTAAAATAATCCTAGATCCGCTCCTCATCAACACCGTGCTGAGCAAGGTGTACATATTATTATGATGGTATTTAAATCTGGGTCCCGGCTAAATCCTCAAACATACGTCCCATTCAAGCGTTCCAAAATATAACTCTCCTCATCTCTACTGCAGCCCCCCTCTCGGTGAATGAACTAGCAATGCTACATTTTAAGCGTTTTTAAACGAAACTTAGTACTTACATATTGAATACTTACTAACCACCCAATTAAAACGATATTTTCAAAATTGTATCCCCGATACTAGTAAATTAAAAAGAAATTTCAATCTATTATTAATACTCGGACTAAGTAAACACATAATTGTATTCTCTCCTATACACCAGCTGCAGCTAGATAACATTAAACTCTAAACTTATACGTGGGATATTACCGATTAATAGTGATGACTTCCCATATTAAGGGATTCACGTTCCGGATGTATTTTGATATTTGATATCAAATAATAACTTATTGCACTTGTGTGTTTTAAATCGATTTTCTCTCTCATATAAAAAAAAAAGATTAAATATGTAATCGAACCACGATAACTCGAATTTTTTTTTGGCCCATTCAAGTGATAAATAAGTCGCATTTGAGACTTATTTGAGGGATAAATAACTCGAATTCATTTTTATTCCTCTTGTCTACTGAGATTCGAGTTATCGAGACTCGATATTATAATATTATAGGTATTGCACGCGAAACGCAGAAGACTCCTGAAAACCGCGATATATTTGAAAATAATCTCTGCACACAATGAAAAAAGCGTACACTAGTTTTTTTTTTTCGGGCTCTCATCTCGACCTTGAAAGTTTATAGCTATATTATTATTATTATCACGAACCTACTTGCGCGAATGTGCCGCAAACGAAAGCCGACCCGTTGGTTTTTGCTCAAATACGAAATTCAGTGTTTTTGACCCCGCACGACGGAGAAAGCCGTCATCGTACACTGCAGCGGTATACGGCACGATCAAACGCCCCTGCGGCGTTTATAAACATCGTCGTCCCGCACACGTGTATTAGGTTTATAACGTCATGTGCGTATGTGCGCTGCAGTATGCGTGTAAGCGTGCGTGTGCGTGTCGGCTATTTGTACAGCGACGCGCGGGGACGACCGGATAGAGCTGGTATAATAATATTATATTATTATAAACTTAACCCGACGCGCGTACACGAACAGTATTATTATACAAGTAATAATAATTTTCGTTTTTTAATGATTTATTATTAAAGCTGTTAATGGGGGGGGGGGATGGATATTTATTTTGGTAATATAGCACCGGGTGATCCAGATAATCACTGTTCAAACGAGTAGTTTTTGAACTATTTGACTCGAGGATAATATAGATTTAGAAGATAATGTAATATAATATAATATTATATGGGTGGTATATGATGATTTGCAAGTTATAATAGGTAATTATAATACTGCTATAATAAATATTAGAGATTCTAAATTTTAATTACTCGGAAACTACCTGTTTGAATTTAAATATTTAGATTCATCGACAGTTTCAAAAATAATCTCACTCCTAACAGTTTACGGATAAGTAAAAAGGTTGATTATCGTTTGACAAAAATTTAAGTCTGTGCCGCTACATGCCTACATCCGCGTATTCATGCGTATACAAATCATAAACGGTTGGAAATGCGGCACTCGTACTATACTCATATTATTTTACTTGGGAAAATACCAAAAGTCAGAGATTGAATAAATTCATAATTACTTTAAAGGAAAAAAAATCGTGGTAAACACGCTTAGTCACAGTTATTTTATCTAAATATGCAATGTACATAAACTTATAATATTTATAACTTCATGCATTTATACGACACCGCAAATGAAAATCACCCGACGCAGATCGTTCAGAGCATATATTATAATATATCATGTATAAACACACGACCGACGAATAAGGTCATCGTCGAACTCGAACACTCGAACGTTTTGAACGCGTACGATGTTTTTAATTATGCTACCATGCCTATTGCCTACTATAATATTATGTTGTGTGGACTGTGGTGTATACCTAATAATAATATAATCATATCATAATATCCAAACTATTTTTTCTCTCCTCGGTAACTCAGTATATATATATTTATAATATTATAATACATGTATTATATATTTGTATACAGGCAGGTTGGTATTATGACGGTTACGATAAATACCTATTATGAATATTATAAACGAGCGACAAGTTTTGTTCACCGTTTGCATCGTCGTCTACGTCCGAGTAGCAGCACGAATCGGGCCAAGGATTTTAAACACGAGAGTGCCTAGTGCCTACCTGCCGCCTTCCTCTTGTGCAGCCTATGGTTTCCATCAGTTTTTAACGCGTAACCGTATATACTATATAATATAATAATAATACGCGTTTACGTGTAAAGTTTAATTAAAGTTATCCGTGGATTAGTAGTCATGAGTGACAAGGCTTTTATAATACTGGTTGCACGTTTCGTTATTTTATATACTACTATGTTATAATATATAAGTACACTTCGTTTCTCAGAATAATGCAGTGAAAATCATAACATCGAAACGTTTTTAAAAGCAATATTATTATTTACCGAGCTGCACTACTATATACGCACACAAGTGCTGCATACGAAATTCACCAAAACCGATAACAATAATAATTGCACCTATATATATTATTAAATTATACGCAGAGCCTATATACCAGAGGATTCGGCAATTTCGCGCCGAAATTTAATTATTTAATTTTTGTCACGTATAGGTTAGCCTACCGCAGTGACAGGTATTAGAAAATTAAAAAAAATAACAACGCCACTACCTACTTAGATGTATATTAGGTATTCAATAAAACTTTCATGTAAGGAACTTCCATTCAAGAAAATGTTCTATTAAAATTTTTTGTTTAACGAAATATTTTTTTGAAAACCAAAACAAATTAAGGAATCATAATATATATAATATTATATGATTCCTTTTAATGAATGTCTCTATAATATACGATTTTTTAATTTTGCCAGTATGATGAGACTTCTTAACATGGAAGTTTCAATGCATATATTATATAAGCCAGTGGTGTAATTTAAATTTAAATTTGTCAAAACTATAATATTTCTGTGCAGCAGTGCACAAACTGCAAGCTTTGCAATCTCGAATTTATCCATTTTTCAGGCCGACCAATTCAAGAAGTGGGCCAAAATCCTAAATCCCAATAATATTTGATTTTAAATACACAAATCTAAACCTCGCGAGGTCCAAGTGACGCCACCGATAGATACGCTGATACGCATTTGCATTTCCGAAAACACTTAATTTACAAAAACTTATATACATAATAGTAGATAAGACTAGATAAGACATAGCAGGTATATTTTTCGCGCTATACGCTGTTTTCGGCTTTTACTCACCATATTTTGTATGGATGTGGACGCGTTGTGTGAATGAATTAATGGATCGGGTGACGTCAAACCGTTGTCATCGGTGATGGACCGGGCTCAAATCTCGGGCAGTGACGACGGCCGCAGCTATACAGTGGTCCGCACAGGCGTTGCTATGCGCGCGTTCGAGTCGAAAAACGGAAAATATACCACCGTGAACGGTTGCAATTAACGTTTTCGGGCGTTACGTGAAGGGTAACGCGGACGCAAAACGATATTATTATGTATAGACGATTTTTATTGTGGACGTGACCCAGTTGCAGGTTACTCGTGACCCGCGCCCGTGTTGCAGCAGTCGTCTGGTCGATGTACCGTCGTGTTTCGTTTGTAGTTTAAATTATAATAATAATTATTGTGCCTCTTATTCGATTCGGCGGCCACAGGCAGACCTCTTTATTGTAATAATAAATATTTAATTATAATATAATATATTATTATGATCGACTCAGCGACGACGGTAAAGTTGCGTGTGATGGTTGTCAGCGACGGCAGCGGTGCAGGCGATCGGCCGTGTGGGCATGTCGCGCGAGAGTACCGTGGTCTTATACGACGACAACAACGCCGATCTAGAGTTCGAGGGCGGCGGCGAGCGATCGAGCGATCTATAGCAGCTGGCCGGTGAGCGGTGAGCGCGCGCGTGTTTGTGCGTTAGCTGACGCGCGTGTAGTGTGTGTAAGAGCGGTGGACGCGGACCACGAAAATAATATAAAAAATCTTCTCGGCTCCGCTAACGGCGGCAATAAAGAGTGGGATGACGACGAAGACGAGGAGAGCGAGTGAACGCGTATTATATATATATAGCACATATACCCGTATAATAATAATATTAGGCGGGCCGGAGGCGCCTACATAACGCGCAAGGTGGGGGCGGGCGTCCAGCGCGGGGGCCGTCCGCTACCGAAATCGCAAAAACGTACTATGTACGAGGCCCTCTGCCCCGCGGCCGCTGCGCGATATGTGTGCTAATGAGAAAGAGAGAGGACGCACCGCGGCGCGCGATCGACGGTCACGACGACGACGACGACGATGACGACGATGACGACGGAGGCGGTGGACGGTGGTTCGTCGCGTATAATATCGTTGACCGTTGTTATACGTATATTAATGTCCACAGCGTTGTGCACATACGCGATCGTAATCGTCTCTCGGCGCGAGCCCGCGAAAACGTGTCTCACGAGGCAGCCCACTCCTCCGCCTCAACCATGGCACCTCCACACCCGGCAGTTGTAGTCCTCGCGGAGAGATTTCACTACGGAACAACAACAACAATAATGTTATACTTCCTATATTAAAATAACTATTATAATGTCATTATTAAATATTATGTGTACAGGTCATAGTCGTCGTTTAAACGATATATATACGCGTAGAGACAGTGCTTCGAGATATATCGGAAGTTCAGCCTCGCGATCATTTCCGTGCCATGACGTTGTAAAAATAGTGGTAGGTACGATCGCGGAAGTCGCGCGGCTCAAGGGTCACTGTCTCGTGGTGGGATACTCGCGTAAGATAAATGATAATACTTTAATAATATACACGTCATATTATTAAATATAATGTGTGTATACGTATATTATGTTGCTGGCAGACAACTCTCGTCGTCCCACATAATTCGGTAGCGATTAAAGTACCTATATATTAATATTATAGGTAGCCAGGTAGGTACTCAAATATTGCGGTAATTACTTAATACGAAACTCATAATGGGAATATGCGGTATACGGAGTGATTCGCCGAGCAATGTTCATTCATATTTTTCAGTTTGATAATTAATTTATGATTTTTGGATCTAACAAGTCTATACCCACACTTTTAAGGTTCATATATCATGTTATTGGTGAATCACACTGTATATACCCATAACTGTATACAGTCCAGAGTGCGTATACAGTTTCTTCTCCCCTTCCACCATAGGCCCGACGACTTACTGTTAAATTTTCGCAAATTCTGTCGCTGCTGCAGCAGACGATGAATATGTGTGCTTCCGTGTTATTCCGTTTGTTAAATTATACTTATAAATATTAAAGGGTACATATTAACATGTGCAAAAATGTCATCTATATATTATACAAAAGCCAAAACCACTTATTCTAATTATATTACTCATCTAAAAACTACAAAACATACGAACTTGAAATTTGGAATAGTGGCTCCTAATTCCTATAATGATCTAGATGTGCCTCAAGAAAGAATTTTCCGATACCTATAAAGGTGGTCAAACAGGGATCTTGAGATTTACACCTCACTGTGGGAATTGAAACTTTATTTTGTATATAAATAGTTGCCATTGCGGTTACTTGGTCAGATCAGGTACATAAGTACATTAGGTACATCATGCATCAAGTTGTCGCGCTTATGGCCTCGAATGAAGGAATAAATAAACTATACCTTAAAACCAAAGTGCAGCTTATACACTCAAAAACTACGAATTTTACGAAAATCTCAGGATTGTTTTTAGAGATATCAGAAAAGTTTAGAGGGTAAGTATTTTTAACTACTTATATGTTAAAAAATACACCGAATGCTAAATCCAATCCAATCCACGGTTGCCTATCTAGGTCGAAACTAGAATTATTTCACAAAGCTATAGGTACACTCGTACACTGACGCCGATTTGTCCGTGAACTGAGATACAGTAAAACTGAGATACATCTATATACCTATATACACTATATATTATATAGGATTTTCCACCAAAAAAAAACTGCTTATAAGCAAAGCCGGGATATTTAAAATGTATAAACTTTAAAAATGTAAAGGTAGGTTGGTAGGTACATAAGCGTGCAACATTACTTGTCAATGTTGCCGTTACAATATGCGCTCGTTTTACCGTAGTTATATAGGGAATTGAAAAACGGGAATATGTGTATATATATACATATATATATATAGGTAGAACATCAGAAACTTAATATACAAAACGTTTTAATAGACCCAACGAGATTTAAACATAATCTATTATAATCTACCCACAAGATATTAGCAAATGAGGTAGGTTATATATCCGCCCTCTCCCGCCCTCACCTTTTAACTATAGACGGTTGAAGCAATGTTCGTTATTATATATTATAAAGTCATTATATTTACAATACTTACATTACCAGTGGCGTACCTAAGGGGGGATTGGTGTATGCCCCCCCCCCTTGGAATTGTTTATTGGTGATGTTTCAATCACGGTTATAGCAATATAGCCTATGTAAGGTACGTGACGCTGGCACCCGCAAATTCGCAAATTCACCCAAATTTGTGGCAATCAATGTTATATCATTTGTACAGGTTTGTAACCACAAAAATTTCATTTGTACACCCCTCTAACCCCCGGAAAATCAAATTCCTAGGCGCGCGGGTGCCAGCGTCACGCTATTCCAGCACCCGCTTTTAGTAATATTTGAGCTATCGACTCAAAAATAGTTGCAAAGAATGTTATATCATTTGTACAGGTTTGTAACCACATCAATTTCATTTGTACACCACCCCTAACCCCCGGAAAATCAAATTCCTAGGTGCGGGTGCCAGCGTCACGCTATTCCAGCACCCGCTTTTAGTAATATTTGAGCTATCGACTCAAAAATAGTTGCAAAGAATGTTATATCATTTGTACAGGTTTGTAACCACATCAATTTCATTTGTACACCACCCCTAACCCCCGGAAAATCAAATTCCTAGGCGCGGGTGCCAGCGTCACGCTATTCCAGCACCCGCTTTTAGTAATATTTGAGCTATCGACTCAAAAATAGTTGCAAACAATGTTATATCATTTGTACAGGTTTGTAACCACAAAAATTTCATTTGTACACCACCCCTAACCCCCGGAAAATCAAATTCCTAGGTGCGGGTGCCAGCGTCACGCTATTCCAGCACCCGCTTTTAGTAATATTTGAGGTATCGACTCAAAAATAGTTGCAAACAATGTTATATCATTTGTACAGGTTTGTAACCACAAAAATTTCATTTGTACACCACCCCTAACCCCCGGAAAATCAAATTCCTAGGCGCGGGTGCCAGCGTCACGCTATTCCAGCACCCGCTTTTAGTAATATTTGAGCTATCGACTCAAAAATAGTTGCAAAGAATGTTATATCATTTGTACAGGTTTGTAACCACATCAATTTCATTTGTACACCACCCCTAACCCCCGGAAAATCAAATTCCTAGGTGCGGGTGCCAGCGTCACGCTATTCCAGCACCCGCTTTTAGTAATATTTGAGCTATCGACTCAAAAATAGTTGCAAACAATGTTATATCATTTGTACAGGTTTGTAACCACATCAATTTCATTTGTACACCACCCCTAACCCCCGGAAAATCAAATTCCTAGGTGCGGGTGCCAGCGTCACGCTATTCCAGCACCCGCTTTTATTAATATTTGATCTATCGACTCAAAAATAGTTGCAGACTCAAGTAGTTTAAGATTTTAGTTAGTATTTTTTTTTTAATACCAGTTATTGTATTTAATTTAAAAAATGAATCTTAATATTTTAAATTCTGTTTCTTTATGTGTTTCTTTAAATTATTTAATAATATTCGTCTGTCAATCCAATTTAATATTATTCATATTAGTTTAATCTTGTCGTGTTTGCTTTACAGAGTTATGTCTATACCTATATATTTCATGTCTAGTTTAATAAATTAAGGATGGATTTAGGTGGATCCGTGTCCTTTCTCCAAATTAAAATTTGCAAATATTCTTAATTTGGATGAATTTTGTCAATATTTGAATTTAACACGCTTATAAAAAAATTGTGCCAATTTATTATTATAATTTTTGAATCCTTTTTAGATTAACTTATTTAAAACCTTCTATTAATTTTTCAAGTATTTTGATTTACACAAACATGTTTTATTGACATTTATAAGACTAAAAACCAAAAATAAATAAATAGCTGAAAAATTAACGAAATAATTTGAATAAAAAATTACAAAATATATAAAATATTAGTAATTAAACAAAAATAAAAAAATACATTTGATTT